AACCCAGTTACATGAGTTAGACAAGGTAGTAGTATCTGCCACATCTCTACTGACATCTCCATTCAGAAAGGAGTAAAATAGGGTTGCATTCTGGCCCTTCTTCTCTTTAATATTTATGTGAATTCAATGATCACCATATTTACCAAAGCAGAATTCCATACTGCTAAACTCCATAATCTGGCATGAACAGATTAAAATCTATTTCTGACAAGGTCAGCGAGTGCGCCAGGGACATACTGGGCTTCTTTCACATTAAAGGAGGCAAGAACACACCTGGTGCCATAAAATCCTTTAAAACCAAATTCATCCCCCTGTTGTTATATAGCTCTCAGGTACATGCATATTTATTTATTTGTTTAAAGCATTTATATGGCCATCCAGTTCCAAGAATATGATCCTAGGAGGCAAAAGGAAGGAAGTCAGGAAGGAAATCAGGAAGTTGGTCAAAACCAACAAATACCAAAAAAAAACACAAAACCCAACATGTATCATTAAAACCAAATCAACAATAAATGTTGAAAACAGCTGAAGTATACTGTGACTCCTAAAAATGGGAACTCTACTCATTCTGTAACTGCCTCCATAAAGCCCTGCAGGGTTGCAACCAGCTGTATGTCAGAAAGAAGATCATTTCAAAGAGCATATAATAACTTATCGCCAAGCCAGATTCATAAAAGTGCTGTTTCAAGTAACTTACTGCATTTGGAACATGGCACTCTATTTAGAAGCTGGGATAATCCCACTGAAATCTAGGGTCTGCATATGCTGGTTATATGTCTGATTCAGGCTTCACTTTTCCATACATTCCCTGGCCATCATGATCCTTCTAGTAATTGCTACTTCTTTCTAGAAAATGAAAATCCAGAAGGATCTATGTCAGTGAGGCTTCTCATCTACGGCCCTCTGGCAGCAGGTGTTTGATACAGCTTTCCAGGCAGGACAATCTAGGAAATCAGTATCAGCAGGATATAAACAGGAAATCTTTCATTCCAGTTAATTACCTATTCAGTATTATCTGCCCAACACTCTTTCCTTTGTTTGCTTTAATGTGTTGCCCTCTGAATACTTGAGGGAAGGTATAACAATATTCCTTCTGGAGAGCAAACCTCTCCTTGTGAGCTGAAAGAACCTATGATTCCAGCCCACATGTTCCTTTGTTGTCCTTTCTACAGCAATGTGCACCCTACCCTCATACTCCACTTGCTAACAAAATTTCAACCTGTTCTGTGATCATTTCTTTTGCTTTTTACTGTCAGACCAGAACCCTGACATATCCAGGAGAGCTGTATAATCTCCTTCAGCTGCCATTGCTTTACAAAGGAAAGCACTCTCCTAACTTTCAGATCTTATAAATATGCAAAATGTTCTTATGATTTCTATACTGTGTCTTTCTGTTACATCTCACTGGTCAGTAACCATAACAAAGTAGATACACATATACTTAGTAGTTTAACAATTTAGTGGTTTAGTATTTTATTCATAAAGTTGTTTTAAAATTTACTTTAGTATTCTACTACTTGTATTTATAGTGTCTTGCAGTTTGAAGCATTTTATTTGTATTAATCACCAATCTATTAACTGAAATTCTATTAATCTCAAATATCTAAATTTGAGCGTTGCAAAATTTTATAAATATTGTATAAAATGCTAGTCAATTATTGTAATAAATATATTACTATATTTAGTAATATTTGCTCTTCAGAAGGTTTGCTCTTCAGAAGAAATATTGTATACCTTCCCTCAAGTATTCAGAGGGCAACACATTAAAGCAAACAAATATATTACTACTATAGAATAGTTCTTGAAATGTTATCAATTCCTGTACAATTGTTCTGAATAAAAACTATGACAGGACTGGGAAAAAACTGTGAGTGATAGCTTTTCTATAATACCCTACATTTTAAAAATGGTATAATCTATATTATGCGCGGGTAACATTTCTGGTCCTAAAAAGTATGCCAGCTGTGTGGCTGGATTCTGGGAAGAACACTCACATATATCATATACGTACTATAACTTTTTGTAGAAACCTTGAGTAGTAGAAGGTTTCTGCTAGAAGAAAGGGGGATCAAGTGGCCAGTGGAAAACTCAGATAAAATTGTCTGGGCCTCCAAAGGCTGCACCAAGACATGAATATTTCTTGAAAGTTGCATGCTGGCTTCAGGTAGTATGTCTACATAAAACTGTAGGTTGACCAGTTGTGTTTTAGAAGCATCTATGCTTTAATGGAATCTGTTCTCATCATGTGCCACTTGGATCATTATAGTCTAATACAGAGGGAAAATCTGTGGCCTCCAGATATTTTTGGATGACAGATCCCATAATCTCTGACTTTTAGTCATGCTGGCTAGATTTGACAGGAATTAAGTTCAACAATATCTGCAGGGGTATGAATTAGGTTCCCCTGCTCCTGTAGATGCATTTGACCATGAAGAAACTTGCTTCCCTGCAGGTATGTGGACTCTTCTATCTAACACACACTAAAAATCCAAGATTATCCCCAAGTTTTACTTTGATTCAAGTAAAACCAAGGTTCAGAGTCATTATGGGCTACTTGAATATCACCTTCTATTCTTTCTTCATGAAGAAGCATGAAGAAAGAGGATAATATAAGGCTTTTCTTGGCATAGGATGTTGAATGAGTTGTGTGAGTTTTGTGTATTTTAAAATTTTAATCTGAATTTTTAATATTCAAAACAATACATACAAAAATATTCCATAGCAATAACTTAAAAGAAATAGCAGAGAAAATTTGATGCATTACTTTTTTAAAAAAATTGCAACAATAAATTTGAGCCCCTAGCATTTTGTTTCTGATGAATGCCAACCGATGCAAATGAATGATCACCCTACACTGATTATCCTGACAATCCTGTCAATCCTGTACAAAGGGTCTGATATTTGTTGCTTAGCTTCAGAAGGACAAATAGGAACTGTCTTTAGATAGGTTTCATCTATCCTGGCACCTATCCTCTACAAATGCTGACTAGGATTACAGTAGTTGAAGTTCAATATATCAAGGGGACCCACATGATGGAGAAGGCTGCTTTAATAATAAATAAGTACTATGCAAACCCATATGATTACTGCAGATAAACAACCCATAAACTCCATAAACAAACTGATCAAGGGCCAGTGTGGCCAATGGTGAAAAACTCTGAGATCTGTAGTTCAGCAACATCTGGAGGGCCACCAGTGTTTTACAGTATGTTAGACATGACAGGAAAAAACAGTTAATGGATTCTGTTTTATTTTCATGTTTTTGATAGCATTGAAATCAGGTTTACAATTTAAGGCCATTAGTGCATGAAAAACAGATATTGTGTAAAAAATATGACATTCATATTTCCTCTTTCATGTGTACGCTGAAACCTTTGAACTAATCTTTACTCTTACAAGTGTGCATCACAATTTTTATGTTACATGTAACTTTTTTGTTACATGCATGCATCCTCATCACCATCAGTTAGGGTGATATCTCACCTCTTCTCCAGGAATTCATAGCAGCTTACACAGGAAGTTTCAGTTCATGTTTTTCCTACCATTAGAAAGTTATGAAATTGGGTGTGTTGAGAAGAGAAGCTGATATCATGAGTGAGTTTCCATAAATGGGGATGGATTAGCAACTGAGTTCTCCAATCCTAGTCCAATACTTTAACCATTATGCTACTTTGGCTGTCACATACCACGATGGCTTTCATTCTTTCATGGGCAGCACTCTCTGCCCATGAAATAATGTTCCATTTTTCTTCTGGAAGACAAAAATATGGCCACTCCAAAGATGGTCCAGTTGCTTCCTGAAAATAAATCTTCTGGAGCAGGAATCAATTCAAAGTGTCCTGGAGCCAGACTACAAGTGGAACACTGCAAACTACTTTCTGTTCCAAAAAAATCTAGTAGACCATTCCTGGAATGGGTAAATTAGTGCATACTGAGGGGGAAAAAGTGATTTTGCATATCCCTACTTATAATACAATTTAAAAAAAAAACTGAAAATGGATATATTTTGTTTCCTTTCCTACATTTTATTTTTTCCTCACATATATTTTCTTCACAATTATGCTACAGTCTTTGATTAAAGAACATGTAACCTACATGCACTTCCTTCCCTCATATCTAAAGACTGCCTATCAATTAAATAGTCACTGAATGACCTTTTTTTTTTTAATTTAAAGATGGACATCTTTTAGGTATTCAACATTCTATTCGCTTTTTAATATTTTATATTAAATAATAAGTGAACAATAATAGTATCATAAATTTCTACCTACATTAATTGTTTGGACAGTTTTCAGTTACTGAAGGGGAGTACTGTGATCAACTTGAAAAAGGAATGAAAGAGCAGTTAAATAAACATGAGCCCTGAGTAAGAGAAAGGGGTGAAAAAGAAGCTCAATATAACTCCACTTGGATTCTTTTTAGTCTAAGAGGCAAATGCTGTCAGGCTTTCAAGATTCTGTTATTATATCCTACAAAAGTAAAATAGAATTCCAGTAGTCTTTGCAGTGTCTGTTTCCTGATCTGGCGTAACTTGAAGGGTTGACAGTTACATTGCCTACGACTAAAGAAAACATGGATGTAACAGACAATATTTTTATAACATGGGAAAAAGGAAAATCAACAGCAGTAATGTATTGCATTTATTTGGCCATAAATTATCAATACAAATAAGAATAGAGAAATAAAAATATTACACATACATTACTTGAGATATAGGTAACTCACTTATCTTAATATGAAGAACTGAGAATATATTTGATGTTTCTTTACTAGAAACAGGAAAAACAGCTCTGCTGTTACCACTTTTTGTCAATGAAATTTTGTTTTGTTTTGAAAATGTGACCAATATTCTTGATTCTTAAATAAAGAGGCTTTCCCCCCACATATTAGTAAACTATTACCTAGTTAGATACCGTTTTGAGATCTGGGAGGCGATTTGCTGATGTGTGTGATGTCTTTATCTTGCAAAGATAAAAATATGCCAAGAACTGCAGACATACCTGAATAAAGATGTATTCATCCTGGACAACAAGTGAACTTGTGTCAATGGAATGCAAAAAAGGTCCATTCCTGGTGGTCTCTGAACATTCTTGAATTCTACAAGTTATGTAATGGGTATCTGTATGGAAAAGAAAACCGTGTATGAAAAAACATTACTCAACGGTTTGTCATGGATTGAGTAAAACAAACATTCATCTTTTACCATGGCCAACTTTGTGTTCATACCCTTATTTTCTCATGTTTGGAATATTCCTGTCAGCCATGCCATCCTATTGCCTATTTCTTAGACCAATGTTTTCCACCTTCTACTTTTAGCTCCCAATTAGGTATTAGCTAAGCAGTACATCCACACCATTTTTTAATTTTCACTTTTAGGTATCCTTGTTTGAAATAGTAAATTTCCAACTCATTTTTTAAAATTAAAAGACCAGCTGAAATTTTGCTGGATAAGGCCTCGGAAAAGAATAGGTTTAATTTGCTTTAGCAGGTAAATGAGGCGGCTGAGAGATTCTTTTTTTTCTCTTCACTGAACAGTGAGACATTCTGGCACACTTAAGCATAAGTATCCTGTTTAAATATTTTTCCACACCTGAAGTTTGCTAGAACTATGAAGTGTTCCATAGCAGCCCAAGAAACTCCAGAAGGTAATCCTGTAAAGTGCTCACACAGGAGTTCTAAGAAACTCCAGAAGGTAATCTTTATGCTGATGCTGCTTTAAGCAAGCCAGACTACTTTACTATGTCCACTGCATTTATCTGCTAAAGCCTGTTATTGCCTCTATGATAGATTTTCTGGGAGAAAAGGCTAACAGGACTTCATTCTGTCTGGTCTATCCCAGAATCCAATGGAAGCAAAATACCCTATTTTACTCACATCAATATTCTAGGTACATTTCATTTCAATCCCTATTCCCAATCATTCAGGATTTCATTTTGTTCTTAGTTAAACAATAGCAATCTTCTCTTCTATACTGTAATTTACATGAATTGATTCATATTTTCCATGCATTTTATTTATGCTAAATATCCACTCAGCAGAATCCAAGCTTCCTATCCACAAAAGCAAAGATTATCTCTAGATAGTCTTGCAGTATTCATTCTTTAAGTTCTTAGAATTTCCATCTTCTGATAAACAAATATCTCTAACCCTACCTATATATTGTAGTACCCATCAAAAAACAGTATAGTAGGATTTAAGGCCATCTTAGTTCTGACTGACTCTTCAATAGTTTAAAAATGCTTACCAATGACAAACAACATATTTTTAAATTGGAGTTAATTGTTAGCAAAGTTTCTTGAGGTCAGCTATGTAGATTATTACTTTCCTAAGGAATCTGGCTACATAATCATAAAAGACTGAGCAGCGAATATATGCAATACAATAAAAATACAAAATGCAATACAATTAAAAGCAAATATATTTTAAAAAAACATTCTTGGATATTTCTATAGTCAGGCTCTAAAGCATAGTGTCATTATAAGTACTTAGAAATTCAGTGATATTTTTTCTTGATCTTAGAAGAATTAGACATTACAAGAATAATTGTTTAGTCAATATAACTCAACAGGGCCTCAGATACATTTATTGTATGTATGTATGTGTATGTATATATACACACACATATATATACACATACATATATACATATATATACACATACACATACATTATATATATACAGTATATATATATATATATATATACACACACACACACACACACATATATACATATACACATATACACACACACACATACACATACATTATATATACATATATATATATATATACATACACACGCACACACACATTATATACACACACACACACACATTATACATACACATACATTATATATATATATATATATATATATATATACACATACACACACATGCACAC